AATAAATGCTGTTCTTTTGAACTTTTTATTCATCAAAGAATCCTGAAAAAAGTATCGCAGTTTCCAAAATTCCAAATATTTGGCAGCACCACTGTTGCCAACATTGATAATTCTAATAATTAATCAGCATATTAGAATGATTTCTTAAGGATCATTTGACACTTTACTGGAGTAATGGCTGATGGAAATTCAGCTTTGCATCACAGAAATAAATTATATTTTAAAGGATATTAAAATAGAAACCATTATTTTATATTGTAATAACATTTTGCAAGATTACTGTTTTTTTTTCTGTATTTTTGATCAAATAAATGCAGCCTTGATGAGCATAAGAGACGTCTTTAAAAAACATTACAAGTCTTACTGATCCCAAACTTTTGAGCGGTAGTGTATATATATATATTCTTTGCGTGTAAGTTTGCAGCCAGCTGGGACAGACAATAGAGGAAGTTTCTGTGTGTGTGAGTTGCCAGAGTTATTTTTGTTTGTTTTTTTAACACCACGTGGTAAGATGTCTGACAAAAATGAGCCTGTCATGAGTATGAAATATCTGAGCCAAAGAAGCCGGTGTTTACAACACATTTAAGCTGCCAGTAACATGTAGTACATGACTTTAGATAAGAACAGTATTTTGTGTTGTAAAGCCAGCAGTCAAGCACAGTGACTACTTTAATGAGGTCATTGTTTTCAAAACCTCCTGCTGCTGCAGTTCCTCTTTATGTACGGTCACGCCATGCACAGAGCCTCGGCTAGCAAAGAAACAGGTGACAAATATACAGTATCGCACCCATCAGTCCTGTTTTTGTGAAGATAAGGAACAATACTGAAAGTTGTTTTGAGCTGGAGGAGCCAAACAAAGAAGCGCAGAGAGAAAGAGAGAGAATGAGCGAGTGAGCGGACGTCTCAGAAACCACACTCACACCTTACTGCGGTTCTGACGGAACTGTTGCCAAGCAACAGCAGCACCTCTGCAGGCATGAGAAATTCACATGCAGCAGTGCTACTGACAGCAAATCGCTTCAGGCCTATTGCAATAAAAGGGGAAAGTAGAAGCTGCTTCTCAGAAAGTGCTGTTAAGATGTGCGTCTGCTCTGATATCTGTGTGAGAGATAGGACTCGCTTTCATGCTGTCATGTCAGTTTCAGTGCCCTAAACCATGCCCAGCTCTAAAAGCAACACACCCATGTGAAACAAATAAACGGCCATGACACGTTGTGCCAATATTTTAGAAAGGAGTGCTCACAAGTCATTTTTACAAGTAACAAAAAACGGGATCCGTGGATAGCTTGATTTATGTTTTTAAATGACTGCTGATGGTATTTAAATAAAATGATTACAATTGACATATTAATTCAGATAAATGTGAATTTGTGGCATTGATAAAAGATGAAGCAATGACAATGATATTTGGCTTTGGCTTAATAGAGAAATACCAACACGAGAATAAAAGGTTATAGTAATGTTAGAAACATTAAAAATCTTCCAGCTGAATAAATGATTGATGACTACAAGATGATTTATGTCAAGTATTTAGCTCTAGCTTTGCAGTTCAGAGTTCAGTGGCTAATATTTTTGGATTCTGACATCCATATGTCCATGTCACATCAAAGCTACAATGAGCCAGTCTCATTACTGAACATTACTGAAGTTGTTACCTCCACATAAAATCTTATAATAAAAAAATATTTTCAGCTGTTCTTTTTTAAACATATTGCGCAGGTGATGCCAGGGGCATCGCTAAAGCTGTGCCCCAGAAAATATTACTGCTAAATCCTTATGTCAATGGGATTAATGTATACTGTCCAATCATTTTCTCTGATAATATTTCAGCAATTAAGTCGTATGTTTGTTCCATCCACTGTTTACAATCAGAACTAGTGATGCCAGATATGCAAATGAATAACTTTTTTGATCTAATTGTTCAAACAGATTTGTAAAAAGGTCTGAAGTGATTCGCGATTCATTTGATTTATTCAGACAGTTCACTCAAGCACTGGGTTCGTTTGCAGTGGTTTGGCACACCGCAACAGTAATGGTTTAAAAGACAGTTATTTCTATCTTTTGCTGTAGTGTGTCTGTAGGAAATATGTGACCCTGGACCACAAAACCAGTCATAAGGGTCAATTTTTTGAAATTGAGATTTATACATCATCTGATTTACATTTCCAAACATTAATTTTGCCATTAATTGTAATAATCCAGTGAGATTTGTGTCTGACAACAGCCAGTGCTCCACACAGAGATCTGATCTCATCATCATCAGTCTGTCTGGAATGACATGAAGAAACAGAGCAAACTGAGACAGACTCAATCCAGAAGAACTGTGGCAACGTCTCCAAGATGCTTCAAGAAAAGTTAAGTATGAGATCTTAGAACACAGAACACATAGGCTGCATCTGAAAGCTGAAAAATGCTGCCTACACAGGCAGGATAAGGAGGTACGAGGACATCAAGGCATGTCTGAATCCAATGATCGTGTCACATCCTGTTTACTGAGATACTTTCATATGAGCGATTTTTGAAAGCAGCATAGATGTATCCTTCATTGCCTATATACCTACAAACCTGTGATTTCCATTCTGTGACAGTTAAGCTAAAAAATAAAAAATAAAATAAAAGCTGCAGTTGGTTTTGATGTGAGTTCTAGCGAGAAATTTGTATTATTGTAATTAAATATTATTACTGAATTTCTCTGTATTTTCATGTGGATCATCAGACTGTTATTCTGCCTTAGAAGTCAGTTTGAAATCAGTTTTGTGAGGTAACTTTACATGCAAACGCTGCCTGCAAGTCATTGCCTCATTGCCCCTAAGCTTTCGGACGCAGTCATAGATAAACCAAAAGTAGTGGAGATACTGTAGTAATCTTACTTTAATAAACTATAAATAAACAATGATTGTTTTAAAATAATATATTCATACATTCACATGCAATGTATAATTTTTAAATCCTAATATTGTCTTTCTTAATTAAACCTACAACTTTTGTCATAAAATACATTATAAAATACTAACAGTTCAAACATAGGACAAATCATAATGAGGCATTAAATCCACTCAAAATGACTTGTAAAAAAATAACCGGATAAAAGAGAAGAATTAAGAGAAAGAAAGAACACTGTATAATAGACAGCTTAATTTAAGTAAGCAACATTGGAGCTTTTCTGTTTGTACCTGAAAGTGAGTTTGTCACCCCAGCCCACAATAGGAGCAGAGGCAGTACTGAACACTGTGAAGTGGGTTACACTCTTCAGTGCTTGTTTTACAGCAGGTTATGCAGTAAAACAGAGGGCAGCACTGTTACTAGCAGTGTGACTGAGGAGATGACAGCTGAAGCTCCAGCTGTAAGGAAGGGTGCCGTATGCTTCATCATCCAGTCATACTCCTCCTTCAGCCCCTGCCTCTCCAGCTCGTGACCCACCACGCTCTGGATGGTCTCATAGTATTTGTTCAGCCAGTGCAGCTACAAGTCAACAACAAATAAAATGCTGTCAGTAAGTGATTTCTGTTTTGTCATAAATGAAAATAAGGCAATTTTCTGCTAACCCACAACCCCCCTCCCAAGACGTATTTCCAGTGAAGAGC